GCATTTTGGGATGGCAGGCAAGGAAGGGTGCATGGGACACAGTGAGGTGCCCAAGGGTGGGGGTGTGGGAGGGGTGGTCCCTGGGTGTAGTGACCAGCCCTCATACAGAGTCCTGATGGGCACATCTCCCAGGGCAAGGGGTCCTCCCTGGGCAAGATGTCTCCATGGGCATGTCCCTCAGGGTAAAGGTCCACCATGGGCAGGAGGTTCTCCATTGGCAGGCGTCCCCCAGGCAGGGGGTCCCCCATGGGCAAGATGTCCCCATGGGCATGTCTCCCAGGGCAGGGGTCCCCCAGGCAGAGGGTCACTGGGGCAGGGGGGTCCATCAGGGTATGAGATCCTCCATGGGCAAGATGTCCCCATGGACACTTCTCCCAGAGCAGGAGGTCCTCCATGGGAAAGATATCCCTATGGACACTCCCTCCAGGACAGATGCCCTCCATGGGCAGGAGTCCCCCAGGCAGAGGGTCCCCCATGGGCAAAATGTCCCCACGAGGACATCCCCCAGTGCAGGGGGTCCCCATGGGCGGGGCAGGTCCTTCATTGGCAAGAGGTCCCCATGGGCATGTCCCTCAGGGTAGGATGTCCCTAGGGGCAGAGAGTCCCCCATTGGCATGTCCCCCAAGGCAGTAGTCCCATAGGGCAGGAGTCCCCCATGGGCAAAGGTCCCCACGTCAGGACCTCCATGGTACGGTCCCCCATAGCACCCTTGTTGGGCGTCCGTGGTGTGTCCCCCATGTCAGGGTGCCCACAGCATGTCCCCTGTGGCGTGTCCCCAAGTGGGTTGCCCATGGCGTGTCCCCCATGGCGTCTCCCCAGGTGGGTGCCCACTCACCAGCACTGGCGCAGCAGCACCTTGAAGCCATCAGGGCAGCCGGAGGGCACGGGTAGGTGCAGGCTGTTGCTGCCCACCCCCCAGATGATGGCTGATGAGTCCACGTCCTTGTAGGGGATCTCACCCGTAAGCAGCTCCCACAGCACCACTCCGAAGGACCTGGGTGCACCATCACCCATGGACCCCAGGCACCTGGGCACCCACTGCCCACCAATCCCCTGGCCACCCCAGGCATCCATGTGCTCTGGTAACCCTACATCCTATGGTCCTCCTAGTGTCCCCTGTGCCCTCACCAGTGCCCCCTGATCCCTCCATGGTCCCCTCATCCCCTCTTCATCCCCCTCCCCCCATCCTGTGTCCTCATTCCCCCTTGCCCTGCCCTGGGGCCCCCAGTGTCCCCTGCCTCTGCCCATGCTGGTGTCCCCAATGTCCTCTCTCCCCACCAGTGGCCCTGATGTCCCCTCCTGTCCCCCATCCCTGTTTCTGCAATGTCGCTGTCCCCCTCCTAGTGTCCCTGATGCCCCCATCTCTGTCCCTCCCCCAGTGTCCCTGGTGTACCCATTGTCCCTGTCCCCAAAAGGTTTCTAGTGTCCCCAATGTCCCCATAACCCCCTGGTGTCTCTGGTGTTCCCTCAATGCCCCCTCCCCATCCACAGTGTCCCTAGTGTCTCCCCATTGCCCCATTTCCCCCAGGTCTCCGGTGTTACTAAAGACACCCGTGCCCCACCATGCCCCTGGTGTCCCCGAGGTCCCCGGTGTCCCTGTGCCCTCACCAGATGTCGACCTTCTCGGAGACAGGCTCATTGCGGATGACCTCGGGTGCCATCCAGGCCACGGTGCCTGCAAAGGACATCTTGGTGCTCTTGTCGATGAGCTCCTTGGAGGTGCCGAAGTCTGAGATCTTCACCACGTCGTCGTAAGTGATGAGCATGCTGGGGGGCACCCGCTCAGTGCCACACCAATGACACGGCACTGTCATGGGCATGGCACTGCTACGAGCATGCCACCACCATGGACATGGCACCGTCATGGATATGGCATCACCATGGGCACCACCATGGGTATGGCACTGCTATGGACATGCGACCATGACGGGCACAGCCCTGCCATGGGCATGGCACAGTTATGGGCACGGCACCATCATGGAGGTGCAACAGCAGTGAGCACGGCATCGCCACTGGCATGGTACCGTCATGGGCATGCCACCACTGTGAGCATGGCACCTTCATGGGCATGCCACCACCATGGGCATGGCACCACCATGGGTACACAAGTATGATGGGCACACCACCACCATGGGCATGGTGTCGTCTTGGGTATGCCACCACCATGGGCATGACACTGCCACAGCACCTCTACAGGCATGGCACTGTCACAGGCATGTCGTCACCACCACGGTCATGTCACCACCACAGGCATGACACTCTATGGCACCATCATGGGTGTGCCACCACCACGGTCACCATATCAGACACCACCACAGCCCAGAACTCCAGGGAAGGAGCCACAACGAGGCCCTGCCTCCACCCTAGGCCCACCCCTGCACCCATGGATATCCCCAAGCTCCTGTCCCTGCTCACTTGGGTGACTTGAGGTCGCGGTGGATGATCTTGTGGAGGTGCAGGTAGTTCATGCCGCCGGCAATGCCCATGGACCAGTCGACGAGGAGCGAGGGGGTGACCTTGCGCCCGGCGCGCAGCACCTCGTAGAGCTGGCCCTGGGCGCAGAACTCCATGATGATGCAGTAGCAGGGTGCCTGGGTGCACACGCCTCTGCGGGCACAGTGGCACCCATCAGTGCTCAGGCACCTGGCAGCACTGGGACACCCAGCTGCACCCAGGCACCCAACAACTCTGGAGCACCCAGCTGCACCATGGGCATCCAGCTGCACTGGGGCACCCACCTGCATCCAGGCACCCATCAGCATTGGGGCACCCACTTGCATCCAGGCACCCATCAGCGCTGGGACACCTGGCTGCACCCAGGCACCCACTAGTGCTGAGGCACTCAACTGCACCAGGACATCCAGGCACCCATCAGCACCCACGCCACAGAGGTGTCCCATGTGTCCATGTCCGTGTCCCCCATGTCCCTGTGTCCCTGCTCACTTGAAGGTGATGATGTTGGGGTGCTTGAGCTTGCGCAGGTGCTTGATGTCAGTCTCCTTGAGGTCCCGCACCTTCTTCACGGCCACCTCCTCACCGTGGAAGCGGCCCAGGAAGACGGCGCCCTGCGCCCCGCTGCCCACCCACTGCAGGTCCAGGATCTCCTCGAAGGGCACCTCCCAGGGGTCTGCGGGCACCCACGTGCATGGCACCCGCTCGCCGGCACCCCGGGGTGTGCCCTGGCACAGCTCCGGTGCCATTAGGGTGCACCCATCCCGCTGCACCCCATTGCCTCCTCCCTGCCCCTCTGTACCCACTTCCCTGCGGTCCCTTTCCCCCTGCACCCTCATCCCTGCCCCATGGCACCCTTCTCTGCCCCATTGCACCCTCCCTGCCCCATTGCACCCTTCTTTGCCCAGTTGCACCCTTCTTTCCCATTTGCACCCTCCCTGCCCCATTGCACCCTTTGCCCCATCCCGTCCCTACTGCACCCTCCTCATCCCATTGCACCCTCTCTGCCCCATTGCACCCTCCCTGCCCCATTGCACCCTTCTTTGCCCAGTTGCACCCTTCTTTCCCATTTGCACCCTCCCTGCCCCATTGCACCCTTTGCCCCATCCCGTCCCTACTGCACCCTCCTCATCCCATTGCACCCTCTCTGCCCCATTGCACCCTCCCTGCCCCACTGCACCCTCCCTGCCCCACTGCACCCTCCTCGCCCCATTTCCCCCCTCACCCTCCTGCGGGTGCTTGTGCTCGGCGGCATAGGCTTTGCCGATCATGGTCCAGACGGGCTTGAGGCAGCCGGAGAGCCCC